GTTGCAGCTTGTAAAGCGTACGTTCGTATCTGTATATATGAGGCTATTTCGCTGCGTTGTGTAGATTGAATCAGCCGCCTTATCTTGCTAAGAGACCAGAGCTAATGCGAGTAGAGTGATGGAATGCAAGTGATGGCGGTGGACATCGGTTTACAGTGAAGAGTCAACTGGATCGAGGCAGGTAAGTAGATAAGTGAGCAAGAAGACGTAGAAGTTAAAGCGCTGCGTCGCGCATTGTTATTCATTATTCTTCCCCAGTTAGGAGAAGCAAGATACTTAAGGCTGAGTAGTAAAAGCAAGAGCTAGGGCTGGATGCCGTCTACAGCGAGGGGCCAAAGCGGTTGGAGCCAGTAGGTAGTTACGTGTGTGATAACACATACGACGCTAAGGCGCTGCATCGCACAAAATGATTAATTCGTCCCCGGCTATTTAGGGGGGTTACTAATATAGCTAAGTAATGGCATGCTCTGGGTGGGACCTGTAGCGCCCAAAAAGATAACCACTATCTTTTATGTACTATTTAATTGTTGACCAATTGTACATTAGTCTTTCTTGTTTTAATCTTCCTTACAACCGGCTCGACACTCAACCGCCTTGTAAGTTCCCGCGCTAACGTGTACCTCCTGCCATGCTTCATCCGTCCGCGTCTTCTTGTAGCCCATCGAATACAATCTGTTGTGGTCGACTCCAATTACCTTCTGATATCCGCGCTTACTTACGCCTACCGTCTCGGACTAGTATTTACTGGTCCTAGAGGCAGAATGTGGGTATTGGAGCTGCCGATGATGACGACGGGTTACTCGGTTAGCTACATTGCCAGATTTTAAGGTTAGCATTGACCTGGACCTCGTTCATATATCTCATCTTCAGACTGGTCTAGGCCAAGAAATTCTGCAAAAGGTATTGTGTCGAGAAATAATCGTTAAATAGTGCGGAATGCTGCAGCCGTTGGTATTGCTCTGATTTCCATTCGTAGCCTGTTCCAAGCGAACGTATATTTATAAAGAAAGAAGCTAGAGTGCTCATCCACTTTTTGTCGAACGAAAAACTTGCTCTTAGCATTTGAGTTGTGCAGTATCTGGAAGAGGAATAATAGGTTGTGTTTGAGCCTCCGGAGCCACAATGGGTCTAGCTGGAGCTGTTTACATCTACCACGATAGTTTAGTGTAGCTGGTTCCAGTAGTCGCTTAGTGAATGAACGTTGCACTCTCTCAGTTGCTATTTTCTCACTTTTCCGCTAGTTAGTTAATACGCAAGGAGCAGTATTCTAGGATAGGTTGGGTGCAGTAGTTATACAAAGCAACTTTGGATTCCCTGCGCACCATCGACTTACAGATGTAGCCGGCGGTTGATCTGGCTTTGGCTATGCTGTATCCCGCGTGTTCGGCGAAGTTTAGTGAACTGGAGTAATGTAATCCTAGGTCACGTACTGCAAGGCAATTGGAAATTGGTGATCCGCTTATTCTCAGTGCATCGGACGGAAGACTACAACGATAGGAGAGGGCGCTGCACTTAGCTGTTGAGAATTCCATTTTCCAGTGGTTGCACCACCGATCTAACGCAGAAAGGTCACTCTGAATATGGGCATACCAGTTCCTGTTCCCTTCGTATCAAGAGAAAACAACTTTCATCTCATCTGCAAGTAGGAATGACCTTCCGTGGGTGAAGCAATCAAATATGTCGTTAACGTACAAAAGAAATATTAGTGGGCCTAGAACATTACCTTGGAAGACACCACTAGTGACGAGCCTATACTGTTATTCTACTCTATCCAGCCGTACCATCTGTGTACGCCCTGTCAAATAGGATGTAAACCATGACAGCAGCGGATGTGGTATACCGAATGACCGGAGTTTAGTTCATAGACTCGATCAAAAGCCTTCTTCATGTAAAGGAAGACAATGACCAGTGTATAGCCTGAATCAATTTCTTTTGTTACGAGATCTAGGAACTCAAATTGACACGTCCGACAGGGCTTTTTAGTACAAAGCCGTATCGGGACTTAAGCTGCGCGACAACAGGAATTCATGAACTTGTTCTTTTACCATCCTCTCCATCACTCGTGACGCGATATGAGTGTGGCTGATTGGACGGTAGTTGTAAATGTTCTGCCGACAACCACACTTGTGTCTCGGTAGCACAACAACACGCTTCCAGGTGGCAGAGAAGGTGCTGCTTCTCATCGATAGAGTGAACGTGTTCTTGAGTATGAGGGGAACGTACGGCCACCTAGCTTTAGGTCTACAGAAGGTAAGCCATCGGGGCCAGGCTAGTAGGACAGCTTGAGCGACTTTATCACATAAGTAACAACGCGTCCTCTGCGATGCTGCGGTTTTCCTGGACGATCGGACCTCACGACGCGGTATCCATTGAGTTGGATAGCCTCATCGTCTACACCAGAATGTAACCAACTTTCTTTTAGCAATAAAATACCTGCGTTTGTATATTAATTACTCTGCATAGCGGCAATGAGTTTGGCAATTTTAGCAAGTAAAGGGCGTACCTTGCTAGAGGTACTTAGCGGAATTTGCGTTTTCTTAATTTGGCACCATCTGAGTCCGGATTGCCAGTAAGCACGGTGCTTTCTATTTTTGCCAAAGCGCTGTTTTAAAATCCATTTTATGATGTTGCTGACTTTGTGTCCGCCTGCGACATAAGGCGCACTTTTCGCAGCGTCTTTGAACAATTTCAAAACGTCGGCACAGTAGGATAACATCGATGACCTCAGAATGATTCAGATAAGCAACAACGTGGGAACAGTATTACAAATTTGGTAAACCTGCACTACATAACGTAAAAATAGTACTCCGAGGAGAAAATAGCAACTGCCGATATGAAGGCCCCTCCAGTTATGAGTTAATTCCATATGTTCAGATAGATACCCTGTAATAGCACACTTAAATATTATGACTACTTGATAGGTGAGACCCAATAGACTCTCCGTCAAGATAAGTTTAAGCCCGTGTATGAACAGGTGGCTGATGATTCACACGTTTGCGAGAACAAACCGGTTTACGTCAAGTTGCCTGTCGAGACCACTTGGCACTCTGGAGAGCTTCGCGTATTCGCGGGATAAAGTATGGAAGTGGCAGATTAGTCATTCGGCACAACGAGCTTGTCTGTCACCACTCTGTTTCAGTTCTGACAGTCAACACACAGATTGGCCCGCTGACTGGGTTCGATAACGCGCAGAATGCCAATAAACAGAGGTTCCGCAGTGTCGCCATTCAGGCTGCGTACGCCAACGATTCGATCGATACCAGACTAGCTGCGTTCGTTCCAAATAAAGGAAGGAGGAATGTGACATCTGTGTGAATTGAGTTCGCTTACTTCCTATCGTCTGAACGTATCGGACTCAGGGCAGGCCAGTCTGTCACCATACAAGCCATTGATTGAACCGTGGTTACTTATTTCCTATTAGATGAGCTCACGGGACTCAGTGCGTCCCACTTTAGCGCCAAGGTAATCTTTGATTGGACTGTGTGAAATTGTGCGAAGCGTTATCTTTGACAACAGTCAGGATACATGTTGCGTACTGTCAAAACTGGCATGTGCTGAGGTCTTGTGCACCAAGCCGAATACCGTGTTCTGATGAGAGATGTAGTTCCACATGGATTACGCTGTAACCAGTCACACACTATACTCCCTGTAAAAAGCATGGTGATGTCGTAAACCCCTTGTAAGTAATTTTTACCATCGGGGTGTTCAGATCACGTTAGAATCCAGAATATATACTCTGAGCTGCTTTATCAAGCCCCAACTGCTCGCTAGCAACGATTCTACTGCATACGTTATGGACGTTGCTATCTGCATAGAACGAAACTACAAACTATATTTGACAAATTTGCAGTCGGACCTCATGCAGATGTGATTTCTAGATATGTGCGGTCACATCTTCCTCAAGTCTCGAATATTATCCACAATCCCATGGTGGATTACTTTATCCCGCTGAAGCGAAACATCTCAAGTCCGTGAATCTTTCACGGTTCGACGTTTTGGGTCTGTGTCTTCCCTATTCGCAATGCACTCAGCATGTGTATGCGCGGAATCTTCCGTACCCACCCCACAAACACACTGACCAACTGTTGGGCGATTCCGCCCGGTTTATAGCACTGTTTATTCCAGAATGTGGTCTCTTAAATCTGCAGAAACATTGTCCTGCCTTGGTAATAAACTGTAGGTCTCGACCTTGGATTATACACACAAATTATCAGCAATTATTATTATTAGTTCACTTATTACAAAAGCTAGGACGATGTACTTGGGTCTGCGACATCTGTTGCGTCAGAAGGGAAATTTCCTCGGTATGGAAGGACGTTCACAAAACCATAGTGAAGACCGTCCTATTCTATGTGAGTGAGACTTGGCCTTTTTAAATGAGGATCTGCGGTGCATTCAAGTCTGACTATTTCTACCTACAAAGCATTACTAGTGCCGGATGGCACCAGTATATCCGCAGTCACCATATACGTATGGCGAGTGCTAGGCAGCGGTAATCAAGCTAGATTCTTAGAGTAACAGTAGCCAATATATAAGTTGTATTGGCTTAGGCAGATACTACTTATACCCTTTTGTTATTTATCTAGGAGGGCCTTGTTTGTCAGGCGTAGGGTGGGGCAAGGCTCAAGGTGACTAAAAGTCGACTTGGCGGAGGTAAATGAAATCCATGATGACAAATATGTGTGTCGTTGGTCCTTATCGCCTCCCAGACTGCAGTCAACGTGCCCGCCTTGTGTTTGGCTGGAGATTTACAGGACTTGACTCGCCATTCGCACCAGTGGCTCGTCTACCATCGTCTAGACGAACTGTTTGTTCAAAGTGTGTTTGCTGTCGAGTTATCTGTGAAGTAACGGCTGATCATGAGGCGGTTCAGCTAAAGCCGCATCATTTCAATTGGCTGATATACTGCTGTTGATGATGATGTTGATGACGAGCGCATATGCCAAGTTTATCGTTTTGCCGTCGTGTGCCATAACAACTGCATCCACGACACATAAGTTCAGGGATCACAGCTAATAAATAAAACTGAATTAATTGGAGGAAAACTTTTACACATTGTGTGGCTGAATTGCGACGCGCAATCTCAATATGGACCGTGCTTCGCAATGAAGTGTACCTTGATCTTTTCAGTCACTCGGACCGCAACTGAAGTGGATGGAAATTGGCTGTTGCCCGCAGTGAGTTGAATTAACATGTGTAAACATCGATTGGTTTTCCGAAAAAGAAACTCGTCCAAAGAAACTGATGAAGTATATACATATGTAATTAAATTAAAAGTTAGCGGAATTTTCAGTCAATCTGTATTCTCCGACAAATTTATGATCTCACGTAGCCATGGTTCTTCCATAGCCTCCTTCTCAAACATTCTGCTCATGGGTAGTAAAAGGTACGTTCGGGTAACTGAACGTATACGGTCCTTTTGCTGAAAGACTTTGGAGAAGTAGGTTGAGTCAACTCTGGAGGCTGCAACTGTCTCATTTATCTCGTTATAGCCTCGGAGCTGTCTCTTTGTTGAGTAACTCAACGTCGTTGGGGTGGATACTGTTGTCGGTGAGTATACCGCGGCACAGCAGTGACTCTTGAGCATTTCCACAAACCGGTGATGCAGCGAGTAGACTTCCCCAGGTTTCGTCAGTGGAGTTCGATCTGAAGTGAAATACATGGGTAATTGAACATGTTCCATGTTATGTATCTGTTCGTTCGACTAACTGCTTTTTTCACACTTTATGATGGAAATTCGTATATAACGACTAAAAATAGCTAATGTCTAGCAAGTCAAATGAGATGGTTGAGATGAACATGACAAAACAGTGAAATGCCGGTCAGTAACCTTCAGCGCGTGCTGATTAACTCATCGGTAGGTTTTAGTGCGAACAATAAGTGCACTTGGTTATAAAATGAAAACTCCGATTTGCTTGTGCTATGTGACATCCTGACAGACATAAATTATAAATAGCAATATTAATGGAGCAATGGCTCGTAAAGGTGTTTATAAAAGAAATCCCCAAATCGGGGAGAGAAATAACGTTTGAGGGAAGGTCACATTCGGAGGGCTTTGAAAGGACGTTGGCACTTCAGCCATTTATAGTGCAATGCCAAGCCTGCATGGGGACTTCCTGTTTGATATTACGTCTGACGTCTATGAGAGGAATGCAAACGTGTTTTTATTTCTTCTGGATTTCTTAAGCGATTATGTGGGTCCTCTAAAGGCGCGAATACGGACCGCTGTACATTCCTAGGTACTTTATTCAATGTTAATAGAGCAGATTGAAATACCCCTAACATTTTTTCACGCCATTCTCTGCGCGGTCTCGAAAACAATGAGATTTTTTTGCCAACTGTGCCACGTCCAATTGACATGTTATGCACCCAGTCCCAAGTAGGCGTTAAGCATTTGTGGGAAGATTGAGAGGTCAGATAGAACAAACGCTCTGCACAAAGCCAGGTATGTAAGTCGCGGATTTTCTAAGTTTCTTCGGATTTTTTGGAGCAACTGATATCGTCGGTAACCAGTATGTCGAGGTCTCGCTACTCCACGGCCTTTCCAAACTGTTACCTTAAGTTGATATGCATTCTGAGATTGACGACGTGTATGAACTAACTTATAACTAAAGTAGATTTTTGTCTAATCATGAACACAATCCAAACAATTTTGACGGAAATCTTGATATAGTTTGCAACCATTTGCTCCCCATATTTTGACATCATCAGCGAAAACCCAGATATTTGAGGTGGTAAAACTTGCATAGTTGTTGTTAAACACGAGAACTAGGCTGGTTCCAGCACCGGACCCTGTAGAACACCGCATTCTACATTGATGAAGTGTGAAAGTAGTCCTCTTCTGTTAAAGGAATTTTCCAACCTAACAATCCAACAGGGTTTTCCAATTCGCTGCTCTGCGTAGTTGAAGCAAGATGCGCTGTTCCAAGTGCGGCCGCACTTTAACTCGGCTCTCACTCTGCCCTCTGTAGCCACTTTAATTCTCCCCACACAAGATTGTGTGTGGGCTCGTTCGAACCAGTTCGACGAGCTCTACTCAGTGCTTTCCAACCCTCGGATCTAGCCTGTATGGATTATACTCTAGCTCCAAGTCCCAGTTTTTGGCATATTCTTTGCCGATTGCTACGTGTGTAATTATATCAAACCGGAGTTTTTCGGAAATATTTTGGTCTCATTCGGAAGAAGAAGCTGATGGCTCCCAAACTACGCGGCAACTATCTCTGCAATTTGCAGCATAACAAAGTTACAGTCATTTTGCTCCGCTCATCAACTGAACAGCTCTAGGGACGCTTATCAGTGTTCCAACTACATCGTCGTTTAAGGCCGGCCGATCAACACGCTGCCGCTTTGTGTGGGTATGTGCTTAGCCGCGAGTCGATTGATCCCTGAGGCCGACAGTCTGCGCGTTACGACCTCCATCTGCCTCTCCGCCTGACCTTGGTACGGTTGAACAACCATCTATTCGTGTGTGCGTTCTGACCTATTCTTGCGTCACCCCTAGCGTAAAGTACACTCATCAAGGTTAGCGCTTAGATAGGTTTTTCTGTAAACAATAGGAGGACGACTAGCATTCCAATGGTTCACCGTCGTCTATGTTGCGCCGACAACTGCAGTAAAGTGCTTAAGATCAGTATTACCTGTTCTAGTTGCATTAGATCCTACTGCCCGCAATGTGCAGGCAAGTCCGTCCAAGACCTGAGACAGACAAACCAAGTTGCTGACACAAGTTGGTTTTGTCGAACATGTCAAGTCATTCCAGTGGTCAACTGTTTACCTTTGCTCATGAAAAAATGCGATAGGATGACTGAAAAAATCGCGCAATTTGTAAATACTAAGATCGCTCCCTCGGAGGTAAATACGGCCACGATAATACCTCACCCAGCCAAAGTAAGCTCTGAGTCTAAACCGAAGAAAAGAGCTAGACGCTCCAACCGCACTGCAGCGTCTGTGACTCTAACTCAACTGGGTCACCACACTCCCATAAGTGGGAAAGCCCCAAACATGCCTGCTTCCACTTCTCCAACCATAGATGCTTCACTTGGAGATTCAGCCATGACACCGACAGCTCAGATCCGTAGGAAATCCGGTGCAGATAACAAGCAGGTAACGTACGCATCGATTGCCTCAACAAACACACAGGGAGGGACACACATAGGTCCATCTTACTTACCGAGCACGCGTGGCGCAAAGCAGCGTTCGCCGTCAACTCCAATGGTGCCCTCTAAACAAGCCGAATTGCCGGTAAAAATGTAAAGCCAACACTCGCTAGACAAAACCACGCCGCGTTAACTCTTGTGTGCACCAATGTACCAAAATCCGAATCTGGAACAATAAAAGGCAAGTTGCAAGACGATCGCAACCAGTGCAGTTCCATCTGCGAAGCGATTGGCATTCGGGTTGAGACTGGAATGTTGCAACGCGTAGCGCTTCACCCGACCTCAGCGCACTCTGGTGAACCTCGAATTCTTCGAGTAACACTAGACTCAGCAGATGAGACAGAGGCTGTCCTGCTCTCAGCAGTTCGTCTTCTCAACTCACAGAGCGGAGTGCGCATATTACCTGATCTACCTTGGAAAAATCGCCCAAAAGAAGCAGTTGAGCAAAGCGGTATTGCTAATAGGGCTAGCAAGAAAACAATATTTGTTCATGGTGCTCCTGAGCTTCTGCATTCTTCTGATCACGATGCACAAACTCATGACCGAGAGCAGTGGTGCTACATCCGCGAAGCACTCTCTGTAGACAATGTTATTGCCAAATCCCTGACAAGAGTTCCGTCATCACCTAACTACAAGGGCTGCGGTCCAAGGCTAATTAAAGTAATACTACACTTCGAGGGAATGACGCAAGTTCTGTTGGATAGCTGGTTAGAGTTTTGAGCTAGGCTGACAACAGAGCTCCGGCTAAAAGCAGCAGGCGAACGACCAAAAGTCGGAAGCAATTCAATAGAACTTGCAAACGCAACAAATTCCTTATTTGCACAGTCCTGCGGAGAGACCGACACAACCGCGCCCACGGCACACAGGAGGACCGAGCACAGCACCAGTGAAACTTCTGTTCAGGAACGCTTAATAATGCCATGCAATTACGACTGAAATACATAAACCAATCAACGATTAATTGCCGGCCACCTAGCGGTCGGCTTAAAAACTAACACAAACTTGACATATATCAATGAACTCCTAACAAAAAAGCCCTATCTTGCATGAACACATACGCCCAAGGCCTTCTAAGCAAGTTGGCCGAACTTAGAGAAATCCATGCCTCACAACCGCGGGATCTCGTCATGATTACAGAGACATGGTTAAACCTTGAGATAACCGATTTTGAGATCCATTTACCTGGGATGTCACTGCTTCGGACCGATAGAACCGGAAGGGGGGCAGTGTGATTCTTTAGTACAATACAAACCTCCGATGTGAACTGATCTACCACTCGGAAATCGAAGCTCCCGATTCGCTTTGGTGCCGCCTATGGTTGCGAAACAAGGAAACATGCCTACTAGCCGTGATTTATCGCCCACCAAACTCAACTTCGGAAATGGACTCCAAACTGAACCACGTTGTTCAGTTTGCTTTGAACAAGTCCTACACCCACATTCTTATTGCGTGAGACGTTAACGTGCATGACATAGAAACGCCAGCAACCGCCGGTATGCAGTTTAAAGCCTGCTTGCAAGAGCTTATTGCTAGTCACCCTCTTTACAACCACGTAACCTCTCCCACCAGATTTCTAACTGCTAACAAGCCGTCGATACTGGATCTTGTGCTCACTAACGAAGAACTCATGGTTAGCGGGATAGTTACAAGCACACCACTGGGTCGTAGTGATCATGTTACTCTACTCTTTGACTATATTTGTTATGCGGAGCACCCTGAAAAGAAGGAGGATAAAATGCATACTGCCACACACCACAATGTGTTGTCTAAACTTGTTAAGGATACATCTTGGACTTTCTTAACCGAATGCCCCCCAGATGTTGCCTGGGAAACCTTTACAAAGACGTTTAGTACACTGGTAGCGCACGCATCAGGGCAGAAGTCCTTCCAACCCAAAAACAAGCATAAGTCATTTCTGAAGAGCAGGACACGTAAATGTATGTCACGGAGGGATTTGGCATGGCGAGATCACCAGGACTGCCCGAATGCCGAAACCTGGACTGCATACGTGACACATCGTACCTTCTGTGTGAAACTGATCCGCGAAGACAAGGTCACTCATCAGCAGAAGTTAATGAAGCGATTCTGCACGAACCGCAAACTCCTCTACAGGCACGTTAACGGTCTTCGAAAGGTGAAGCGAGGGGTTCCATCACTAGTCATGGCTGATGGGTGCACGCGATCAGCAATGGAAGCAGCTGATCTCCTACGACTTCATTACTCCCAAACTTTCCAGGAGGTAACGGGCACAAACATTCTCCTCGTTTCTAATACTCCACTGTCTGGTTTATAAAACATCATCTTCACTGTGGAGGCTGTGTTGAAGAGGTTGTTATCCTTGCGTATCCACAGTTCTCCCGGAGCTGACAACATCCGACCAAAGGCTCTGCAGGCAGTAGCTAGTGATCTAGCAGCACCACTGGATATTTTCTATCAGCGATGTCTAGAGGAGAACCGTATTCCACCAGTATGGAAGCTAGGGGTCATTAC